TTACACAGAGCTTATATTCTTAGTACAAACAAAAAATGATAGTGTAGTGGAAGATAACTTTTGAAGTTAAAAAGGTTAGAAAAAATTAGCAAAAAGTTACATCATTTAGTTATCTGTCTCAAGTATTTTTGATGTCTGATGCTTCTTTAGTTGGCTGAAGAAGCTTTCTGACCTAGTAGTAATCACATCCATTGAGATTTCCAATGCACCTGTATCAGCATAAATGAAACTGTTTAAAGAGCCAGTACCTTCAGCAGGCTGCAGAAGAGGTTTTAAGTGCTGCTGTTGTAGGATCTGGCTTATGGACCAGACTGCCTATACTCCAAGAAATGCTGGATGAATTTTGGGGTGGGAAGGGAAAGTGACTGGAAGAGGCAAGCAATGAATGGCTTAGACTGTTTTTCCCCTCAATATGTTGAAGGTGAAGAGAAAACCACTAGGTCTTTTTTGCAGGTAATGATAAGAGATTCAACATCATATATATTTAAGGCCAGATTGGACTCTTGTGATCATGTAGTTTGACCTCCTATCTAACACAAACAATAGAACCTCACCCAGTAATTTCTGTATCAAGTCCGTAACTTCTGTTAGAACTATAGAATGTCTTTTAGAAAAACATCCAGTCTTGATGTTGATACTTCAGGTGATGGAGAATCCATCACATCACCAGATAAATTGTACCAATGGTTAATTACCTTCACTGTTTAAATAACACAATTTTTTTTAGTCTAGGTTTTTCTAGTTTTGGCTCCCTATATTTGGATCTTATTATGCCTTTTTCTGCTAGATCAAAGAGCAGTCTATTATCTGAAATCTCTTCCCAATGTAGGTACTTGTAGATTATGATGGTCACTTTTTAACTTGTTGGATAAACTAAATGAAATTTCTTGAGTCTCTCACTGTAATGCATGTTTTCCAGATCTGGTATTGTTTTTGAAGCTCTTTTCTGAACCTGTCCACTTTTTCAATGTCCTGCTTGAAGTGTGGACACCAGAACTGGCTACAGTAGTCCAGTAATGGTTTCACCAATACCATATAGAGAGGAAATATCACCTCCCTATTCCTCCTAATTGATTTTCCTTTGCTTATACATCCAAGGAGTGCATTAGTCCTCTTAGCTACGGCATTGCACTGGGACCTCATGTTCAATTAGTTGTCTACAGTGACCCCTTAATTCTTTGTGTGATTATGTTTGAGGAGAAATTCCCCCTTCTTTTGTGATCTACATCCTTTGTTTTTAGACCTTGCATTTGATTGTGTTAAAATACAGGTTGTTCAAATGAGCCCACCTTACCAAACAATCCAAGGGTGGTCTGTATCCATCACTCTTTACCACTCCACTAATTTCTTTGTCATCTTCCAGTAATTATCTTGGGGGTTTTTTTTCGGTGACTGAAAAACATACTGAATAGTATTGTGTCAATAACTGATCCTTCTGAGACCCCACTAGAAACACCTACACTGGATGACCATTACCTGTTTACAGTTACTCTGAGAACTATCTGTCAAGTGTTTTTAATCTATTTAATATGGGCTCCATCGGAGGTTTTTTGTGGGGGTGCGGGGAGGGGAGGATAATTCAGATTTTATGGCAATGTGAGGGCTAAGTCAGATACCTTACACAAATCTATTATTTTAAGAGTTACCTTTTTTTAACCAGACATTTGATCTAATCAAAAAATGTTATCAAGTTTGTGTGTTTTACAAGACCTATCTTCCATAAAACCATGTTGATTGGCATTAATTATGCTACTGTCCTTTAATTCTTTATGGCTTGCCCACTAAGTTCTCGCACCTGTGGTTCTTCAGTTTGGGAATCTGTGATCAGTGGTATACAATGATCAGGCAGCCTTCTCAAAACAAGAATTGTTGGGTTAATAGTAGGAACAAAGCGTTAGAGACTCTCAACAGGTCCCTATATCTGTCTGGTTCCCCATAACAGCTACTGCCCCTTTCTCTTTAAACCCTGCTATAGTTATTTTGTTCTTCTGGTCAAAACCAGTCCAGTAGGCTCAGTAGGAGGTCTAGCCAGAATCCATAGGGCCAGTAGTTCTGTATACTGAGGAGTGGCTTAGCTTGAGTTGTGTTCCTTCTTACCTGTTTTTCAAGACAGACCCTTGCTGAGAGAAACCAATATAATCATATAGAAAATACCCCAATAACAAGGTCAATATACAGTATCATAATTTATCACAAGATGGCTCCCAATCAGTCAACCTGATACACATTTAAAGAATTCCTTCTTATTGTCCTTAACCCTGCTGGCCGTAGGTTTTTTAATTGATACTTTTAGCTTCCATTATCAATTGTCAGAATTTCCTAACTGTTGACATGTACTAGTTGCGATCAGCTTCTTTGTTTTTCCAGTTGTTAATTAATTTTTTTTATTGCTGCTTTCACCTCACCATTTAACCGAGATGGCTTTTTAACCAGTGAAGCCTTCTTTAGAGTTTGTGGAAATATTTTTTGGAATCTAGCAAAGCATATTTAGACAGATACACCCTCAGATATTCTGGTGATGAGTACTATAGAAAGTCCCAACATGGTTGCTTGAAGGATGCCTCTGGAAGAGTTTCTGCTTGAATCACTGGCTGGATAGGCGGGTAAGAATTAGGAAATTCACAATACTGCTCGATTGCATACATCTGCATTATACCTGGCTATTATATTTGGACCATGTTTGTATCACCAAACTGATCAATGTTCATACTCTTCAGCAAATTACTCATTTTGAATTGAGTTGAATTTCATTAAATATTTTTTGAGACTCATAAGTATTGCAACTTGAATTTCATTCGTTTTATTTTAATGTTTTGCTTTTCTTGAATTAGTAGACTTCAGAGTTAGCATTTTTCCATACCATTTTGCATACTTGCATGCAAGTACTTGTTTGAGTCATGGCTACTTCAAATCTTAGAAAAATCAGTCAATAAAATGTTCCTATGGATAAGTCAGGCTCTTTTTACCCACTTTCAGTTTTAAATAGTTGGGTGCGGTTTGGGGAGTGGAGTTAGGGGAATATTAACACTGGTGCTATGAGGGGTGTAGGTAAAGTCAGTGAGGATAAATAATTCAAAAGCACCTAAGTCCCATTGACGCTTTACAACTTAAGACTTAGTCTATGATCACATGGGTGCTTTTGACATTTTAAATCTCTGAAGTCTTTTTGAAAGTCAAAAATAATTCTGGATATTTTTCCCTTAAATTTTGTACACTCTTATTTGTGTATCTGACACATTGGCTTAAAGCAATATATCACCAGCTCAGTAATGCTTATAAGCCTATGGCAATATGGGGTCTGAAAATGTTGTAGTGCCTTGATGTTCAGTGAAACTTCAAAAAAAATGCATTGACTTCCTAAGGAATATGCATAATGAATTTTAAGTTCCCAGGGCTGCTTCCTACAACCCACCACTTCTTTTATGTGCTGTGACTTTTAAAATGTTTCTTTAGGCATGAAAGTAATATGCTGTTGACCTCAAAAGTTATCACTTTTTCTAGTACATTGTATAGTCACTGAATTGAATTAAACACAGTTATGTCTTAAAATTCTCTTCAGCTGTAACTATATGTGTATAAGCTGTAAAGCCCCAAATGAGTTATGTAAGTGAATCCCATAATTCACAAAAAAGTTCTCCCTAGGCCTGAAAGGTTGTCTTTATATCAAGCTTTAGCATGCAACTCTTTTTATTTTTGTATAGGTGCTTCTATCAGTTACAAATAATTCTTTTTTAAAAGGTTTTTTTTACTAAAGAACTGGAAAATGCACAAGTTCTTCTTTGAGTGATAGTATATGCCCATTTCTAGTGTAGGTGTGCACACACCTACAGCAGAATGGATGTGTGCAACACAGCTCAAAGAACAACCGTTACAAGAAGGTAGGTAACTGAGGTTTGGGTTTGTTTATTTTTTTAACAAATACAGCAGGCTGTGTCTTGTGACTATGTAGAGAATGTGAATAACCAATTGCTAACCAAACTATCAGATTAATTAGCCTTGACGGGGTATAATCCTCAGCATTATCTTTGATCTTCAAGATATTTCATGTGCTCAGATCTCATAGTTAAACATCTCTCAAAGCCCATTTAGCTAGAAATGAAGTCTTCAAAGAGTGCTGCCATTGACTATATATATATATAGATAGATAGATAGTCAATTTTTTTTTTTTAATTTGAGACCCATGAACAGTTTTACTAAGAATAGGGCAAGAGCCATGACCTTGTGGGAGAGTGAGTGGATCTGGAACTTTGTTTATTCTCAAGGATCCATGCTCTGGAATAGTCTCTAACTCATGCAGTGTTGATAGAAGTGATATCCATGGAGCAAAGGCTGGTGATAGGTGCTAAACAGCTGCCCACAGTGCCAACTTAGCCTAGTCAACTGAACTTTTAACTATTGTTGTCTTACAACCCCGTTATAAGATTTTCATGCGTTAGCCAGAAACGGGTGGGTGGGTGGATGTCTGCAATATCAGAATCCTCAGTTAATGTCAAAATAGATTTGTTTCTTTAAGAACTGTTTTTGTAAGATAGTGATCACGTGAATTTTTTTAAATCTTTATCTCAACTTTTAGTAGTAATTTTCTAAAGAAAGGTATCCCAGTGAAGCGTGAACATCATTATTACCTTTTGTATGGGTATAATATGCATCCATGGGCACGTTGTAGATATTTGTCTAATCTAACACAGATGTTGATTGAATTACTTTGAGAATGAACAATAAAACATAATATTCTTGCACTTGCATAGCACATTTGTGGATCTGTAGGAGTCAGAAGAAGCAATACTATTATTTTTTTCTCCAAAGGTCATACAAGTAATAAATGCAATTCCTAGCAAATGGCCAACACAGTAACCTGAAACTACACCAATTAATGCAAATATCAGAAAGTAAATCAATTTTGTTGTGATATGGAGGTATGAATGTAATGTCTGCCTATCAGATGACTGAAAGGTTTAGTTTGCAGATAATAATGTAATTGCTTTTAACTTTCGTAACAGGGTTCCTGACTTTGTGAGAGAGAAACGTTTTGGAAACTGGCTGAAAGATGCACGTGATTGGGCTATTTCCAGGAACCGATACTGGGGAACACCTATCCCTTTGTGGGTCAGCAGTGATTTTGAAGAGGTACGTAAGAAAACAAAAATCTCCAGTTATTGACAGAAGAAACCCTGCTATGTTACCAAGTTGGTTTGCTTAATTTCCTAGAGCACAGAACTGTCTTAGAGTATGTCTACACTACGAGAGTAGTTCGATTTTACTTAAATCGAATATGTGGAATCGATATTGCAAAGTCGAACGTGTGTGTCCACACTAAGGACAGTAATTCGACTTTGTGAGTCCACACTAACGGGGAAAGCGTCGACATTGGAAGCGGTGCACTGTGGGCAGCTATCCCACAGTTCCCGCAGTCCCCGCTGCCCATTGGAATTTTGGGTCGAGCCGCCAATGCCTTCTGGGTAAAAAAATGTCGAGGGTGCTTTTGGGTAACTGTCGTCATCCGTCCGTCACTACCGCCCTCCCTCCCTGAAAGCGCCGGCGGGAAATCAGTTCGCGCACTTTTCTGGTCAGTGACAGCGCGGACGCCACAGCACTGCGAGCATGGAGCCCGCTGCGACCATCGCTGCAGTTGTGGCCGTTGTCAACGCCTCACAGCTTATCATCCACCTTTCCCAGAGGCAGATGCAGATAAATCAGGCGAGGAGGCTACGGCACCGCGGTGAGGGCCTGAAGTCTGAGAGTAGCACAGACCTGTCAGAAAGCACGGGACCCAGCGCCGAGGACATCACGGTGGCAATGGGTCATGTGGATGTTATGGAACGGCGATTCTGGGCCCGGGAAACAAGCACGGACTGGTGGGACCGCATAGTGCTGCAGGTCTGGGATGAATCCCAGTGGCTGCGAAACTTTCGCATGTGGAAGGGGACTTTCCTGGAACTTTGTGAGTTGCTGTCCCCTGCCCTGAAGCGCAATGACACCCGGATGCGAGCAGCCCTGACTGTCCAGAAGCGAGTGGCCATAGCCCTCTGGAAGCTTGCAACGCCAGACAGCTACCGGTCAGTCGCGAACCACTTTGCCGTGGGCAAATCTACCGTGGGGGTTGTTGTCATGCAAGTAGCCAACGCAATCGTTGAGGTACTGCTCTCAAAGGTAGTGACCCTGGGAAACGCGCAGGCCATCATAGATGACTTCGCCGCGATGGGATTCCCAAACTGCGGTGGGGCTATAGATGGAACTCACATCCCTATCCTGGGACCGGACCACCAGGCCAGCCAGTACATCAACCGAAAGGGCTACTTTTCAATGGTACTGCAAGCACTGGTGGACCATAGGGGACGTTTTACAAACATCAACGTCGGATGGCCGGGCAAGGTTCATGACGCTCGTGTTTTCAGGAACTCAGGTCTGTTTAGACAGCTGTAGGAAGGTATTTACTTCCCGGACCACAAAATAACTCTTGGGGATGTGGAGATGCCTATAGTCATCCTCGGGGACCCAGCCTACCCGCTAATGCCCTGGCTCATGAAGCCCTATACTGGCGCCCTGGACACTGAAAAAGAACTGTTCAACTACCGGCTGAGCAAGTGCAGAATGGTGGTGGAGTGTGCTTTTGGCCGTCTCAAGGGGAGATGGAGAAGCTTACTGACTCGCTGTGATCTCAGCGAAACCAATATCCCCATTGTTATTGCAGCTTGCTGTGTGCTCCACAATCTCTGTGAGAGCAAGGGGGAGACCTTTATGGCGGGGTGGGAGGTTGAGGCAAATAGCCTGGCTTCTGATTACGCCCAGCCAGACAGTCGGGCGATTAGAAGAGCCCAGCGGGACGCGCTGTGCATCCGGGAGGCTTTGAAAGCTAGGTTCCTGAGTGAGCAGGGTAACCAGTGACTTTTCAGTTTGTGTACAGAGAAGATGAACCTGCCCCCGTTTCTTTACCCACTAAATATTCAGTATCCTCTCCAGTTACATACCCCGTTCCCCCCCTTCCAACACACGTTTAAAAATAAAATCACTTGAGTTTTGTTAATGAACACCGTTTTCTTTATTACTGTTTTCGTGGGAAAGTGTTGAACCTGGGACGCAGACTGTGGTGGGGAGCGGGTGTAGTGTAGTGATGCAAATGACGCTTCCAAACTCCAGGAATGACAGGCTCCGCAGTGGTGGACTGGTGGTTTCAACGGACCCTGCCACCCCTCCTGTTCGGGACTCTGTGTGTGTGGGGGCTATGTGACTTTGTGGCAGGGGGAGGACGGTTACAGATCCCCCTGCAGCGTGGCTCTGTGATCCAGGATAAGGACCGCTGCATAAGATCTGTAACTGCCCTCCCCCGCCACAAAGTCACAGAGCACCCCCCACAGAACACTAAAACCACCTCCCAGACTGACCAGGGTAACTAGTGACTGCAATGTGTGTGTGCCCTGCTGCTGAACCTGCCCCCGCCTCTGTACCCTGCTAAAGGTGACTGTCCTGTCCAATTACCAACCCCCTTCCCCCCCTTCAGACAGACTCTCCTCTAAGAGAACATGATGGAAACAGTAATTAACGGAAACGTATTTTTTATTAGCAACTACACATGAAACTGGGGGGTGAAACTTGGACGGGGGTTTGTGTGAGGCGGGAAGGAAAGGACTTGTCAAATTTTGGGGAATGAGAGCCTTCTAGTACTAGAGCAGTCTGCAGGGGTGGAGTGAGAGTTTTCACGGACTCTGCCGCCCCTCCTTCTTTGGACTTTGGGTGAGGGGGGTATGGGACTTGGTGGCGGGGGAGGGCGGTTACAGATAGACTGCAGCGGGGCTCTGTCCTCCTGCCTCCGGTCCTGCAGAACATCCACAAGGCGCCGGAGCGTGTCCGTTTGCTCCCTCATTAGTCCAAGCAGCGTTTGAGTCGCCTGCTGGTCTTCCTGCCGCCACCTCTCCTCCCGTTCCATGTGTGAACGGTGCATTTGGGACAAGTTCTCCCTCCACTGGGTCTGCTGTGCTGCCTGGGCTCGGGAGCAGCCCATAAGTTCCGAGAACATGTCCTCCCGTGTCCTCTTCTTCCTACGCCTAATCTGCGCTAGCCTCTGGGAGTGTGATGCCAGGCTAGGTTGTGAGACAGTCGCAGCTGTGGTTGTGGGAATGGGAAAAAGGGAGTGAATTCCTCAGAAAGATAAATGTAGTTGTGAACAAAGAACATAGTCTTTCTCTGTGAACAAGACCATGCACAGCACCTATCACATGCGCACTCAGGACAAGGTCTAATTTTCGGCCTTCGCATTCAGTGCCTGGGGTCTTGCACTGCAGATCTGAGAAGCGGGGCAGGACACCGGAATTTGTGTAGCAGGCAGACATGGTAAGCCGTAGACTTGTGGCTGCTTAAAACTTTAATAGTAGCACTGGCCTCCTTTCACATTGAAAGCAATGCCAGTCCCTGCTGCCAGCAATCCGGCAAGCATGAACTCTGCCCCTGTCCCACCCCCTCGCGGCTGTCCCAGGGAAAGATCCCTGTATGCTGCCCCTCTCCCGCCTCCACCGCGTGGCTGTAAACTGGCGGTTACAGTTCTGTAAAGGAACGGGCAAGCAGTCCCAATACTAACATTCCCCTACCTAATTCAAAGCAGGTCACCATGAGCGACATCACCCTGATGAGGATCTCAGACACTGATAAAGAAAGAATGCTTCGGGAAAGCCTGCAAAGACCAGGGCCGTATGCCGCCATGCTCTGCAGGGCAATGATCCCGGAGTACTTGCTTGTCTCCTGGCGCGGAAATGTCTGCTACTACGGAGGACCCAATAAAGCCGCTCTCCCCAGGAACCTGATGCAAAGGCTTTCCAATTACCTCCAGGAGAGCTTCGTGGAGATGTCCATTGAGGATTTCAGCTCTATCCCCGGACATATAGACTGCATTTTACTGTAGCTGCACTGGCAGGGACTAAACAGTAGAGCGGCTTGGGCAGAACAATCATGCTAAACCGGACATTGTTAGATTTTTTTTGAATAGTTGCACTGCCCAGGACTGAAATGTTCAGCGCCTAGGGCAAACTAATCATGAGAAACCCATTGTTGTTATTGTTAATATTCCTGTTCTGTTAAAAATAAATGTTTAGATGTTTAAAACACTTACTGGATGATCCTTCCCCTGATTCTGTGTCCGGGTTAACGGCTGGGGACGGGTGGTAGGGGATCTCTGTGAGGGTGATGAAGAGATCCTGGCTGTCGGGGAAATCAGCGTTGCAAGCGCTGTCGACTGCCTCGTCCTCCTCATCTCCTTCCTCATCTTCCCCGTCCGCTAACATGTCCGAGGAACCGGCCGTTGACAATATCCCATCCTCAGAGTCCACGGTCAGTGGTGGGGTAGTGGTGGCGGCCGCACCTAGGATGGAATGCAGTGCCTCGTAGAAACGGGATGTCTGGGGCAGGGATCCGGAGCGTCCGTTTGCCTCTTTGGTCTTCTGGTAGCCTTGTCTCAGCTCCTTGATTTTCACGCGGCACTGCATTGCATCCCGGCTGTATCCTCTCTCTGCCATGGCTTTAGAGATCTTCTCATAGATCTTTGCATTCCGTCTTTTGGAGCGCAGCTCGGAAAGCACGGACTCATCACCCCACACAGCGATGAGATCCAAGACTTCCCGATCAGTCCATGCTGGGGCCCTCTTTCTAGTCTGAGATTGCACGGCCATCTCTGCTGGAGAGCTCTGCATTGTTGCCAGTGCTGCTGAGCTCGCCACGATGTCCAAACAGGAAATGAGATTCAAACTGCCCAGACAGGAAAAGGAATTCAAATTTTCCCGGGGCTTTTCCTGTGTGGCTGGTCAGAGCATCCGAGCTCGGATTGCTGTCCAGAGTGTCAACAGAGTGGTGCACTGTGGGATAGCTCCCGGAGCTATTAGCGTCGATTTCCATCCACACCTAGCCTAATTCGACATGGCCATGTCGAATTTAGCGCTACTCCCCTCGTTGGGGAGGAGTACAGAAATCGAATTTAAGAGACCTCTATGTCGAACTAAATAGCTTCGTGGTGTGGACGGGTGCAGGATTAATTCGATGTAAGGCGCTAAATTCGACAGAAACGCCTAGTGTAGACCAGGCCTTAGTGCTTTGCAGTTTGAAGTACTCTGCTAATAGTTCTTAAAACTGCCATGCAAGTAAAGGACAAAAAGTAGTGCTTTTTTTCTTCATCTCTCTAATGTAAAATTTCAGGTGTATTTTTCTTTTGTTTTTTATGTTTTAAATTAAGCTCTATCCTGGAAGAATCTACACAGTCAGGAGAACTAGTGAAACTATAACATCATAAGATAAAACTGAGAAGAGAAGGATTTTTTTTAGTCACTATTTTTCAGCTCTTGATTTTAATTTTTAACACTCAAGAAAAAGTCTGTGTATAACTGGTAGATACAAACTGCCTAAAATTTTCTCTTGCAAGTTAAGCCTACATTAGTAGAAAAGCTGATATATAAATATATGGTATTGGACTAGGTGAGTTGTAAGGTGTCTCAGCATTAGTAGCATGAAGTAAATGTACAAAACTATATACCGAGGTAATTGGCAGTGCCCAAGTTCCTGGTTTCATAAAACACCCAGATGTTCAATTTCTTTAAAGGTAAAATACTGCTACTCTAGGGATCAGCTTGATTAGTCAATTCTGATAACACAAGTAGATGGAAAAAGAAAACAAGTGAAGTTGTCAGGATGCCCATATAAGCCTGAATGGTGGTGATAGCATTCTGAAGCTTCTTATCCTTTCTACCCCCGTTGCTAATAAGGAGGTAACACATATTATCACTCTGGACTGAAGCAAGATAACTGAGAAAATATATGTAGGTAAAAAGTAACTTTTATGCCTCACACCCTTTCCCTGTTCTTATGTTTAAAAACATTTCTACTGCCCAACAGAGCAAGATCAAATTATTTCTACCTTGACCCACTGTTTACTTTTATAAACAAAAAGGTGTGTTTTCCATAAAAATTTACACAAATATTGCTGTATTGTCCAAATATGTTGGCAGTCTCTGCTGTCTTACTGTACTATAAAAACTTAAATTTGAGAAGCTACCATTTATATTAATCCATCTTGCTTTCCTGCTTAGAGATGCTTCAGGCTCCTGTTATGGTGTTTTGCTGATTTTGACATGATCTTCCTAAGGCCACCGATGAGACAGGTCTCATCAAATGAGGAGAGGTTTTATACAGCAGGGAGGTGGTGGAGACTCTTAGGCTAAGTGAATCCTGACCTGCATCCAACAGCTGTATATTATCCTTCCCTTGCAGTATTATGTCCTTCATGACCCTTGGAAAAACTAGGACACAGATTCTCAAACTGTGATCCCTGGACTATTTGTTGGTGGTCCATGGAGAGTTGATTGGTTGCTTTATGCTAACGATGTCTCCCTGAAGCAGATGTTATACTGCGTTAAGATGGCTAAAAATAAAACAAACATTTTCTTATATTACTCTTCCTTGGAAGCAATTGCTGTAATTCTCTGAGTGCCCACCTGTGGATTAAAATCCACTTCCATGACTGACAGTTTTGTACCTAATGGGTACAGAATGGCCAAGTCAAAATGAAAATACTCTATACTGACTAGTAAAGGTTTTAGTACTAGTACTAGTAAAGGTTCAGTACTGTATCATGCTAAAATATTTCAAGTTTGGTCCTGCAGCTGAAAAAGACTGGACAAAAGACTACACTATGCATATTTGCCTCTGGTAATGCTCCTTACAATCTCTGTCCCTCTTTTACTGATGAAATCTTTACAATTCCTTTTCTAATTTGGAAGATTGAGTTTCGTGTCCATGCAGTTTAGTGCAAATAGCCTACAGGAATCAGACATTGGGGAAGAAATGGTCTAATGCATACAGACAACTTGCATTTCTCCTGAGGCTGCATGTACCCACTGGCTAGAAAGCAAGTGTTGAGGTTTGGTAATCTGGTATGGCCACTGGGCCACAGTAAAATTCAAACGGAGTGTGCCTATGTTCACTCATATTTTATATGAAAGGGGATGTTGTTTAAAAATTAATATAAAAGGTTAACATTGGAACACTCAAACTTTTTAATTTTACTATGGTCCAGTAGCCATACCAGACTACTGAACCTCAACAATGTGCCCTTCAAAAAGGAACACTTCATGCGTGCAATTATATTTTGCATGTTAAAATCAGAAAAAAATTGTGGATTTATTATTTAATATATAGAAAGGTTACTAACTGCAAGTAAAGTGAAATATAGTACAAATCAATATCTAGTCTCCCACAGTTTTACTTTAGCTGCACTAAGTTTTGGCATAATTATAAGGTAGTAGAAACACATAGTGGAAGGTGAGATTTGAAACTTGTGTTTTTTATTACTCTGTGAAAATCATTGATTTGAGAGCTTAAACCTACAAGTTTCTGAAGAAAGGACTAAGCAGAAAAGCACCCATTTCAACTAGATGTAAAATCTTTTAACACCGCATGATCAGGTTCATAAAGCAGGAAGATAAAATGTTTAAGTTCTAGAGAACTGGCATACAGTTTAATTGAAGTTGCTCAATATTTAGTGAAGATGTGGTTCAGATGCTTTAGTGTGGCTTGGAGCTCCTGTCACTCAACTGAGGCATTTGACCAACTAGTTTTATTGCCAGTAGTCTTGTATAACAGCACTAACCACAGGAAATCCCTGGCTATGCTGTTTTTAGTCTGTGAAGAAATCTTTTCTATGTCCTGTGCCCAGTCTGTTTTGTTTCCGCTTATCCAGTTCAGGGCCGGCTCCAGCTTTTTTGCCGCCCCAAGCGGCAAAGTGTGTGTGTGGGGGGGGGAGTTGATCAGCGGCACTTCGGCGGCAGCTCAATCGCGCCGCTTCATTCTTCGGCGGTAATTCGGCAGTGAGTCCTTCGCTCCCTCTCTTTCTCGGACGTGCTGCCCCTTTCCATTAGCCGCCCCAAGCACCTGCTTCCTTCGCTGGTGCCTGGAGCCGGCCCTGGTCCAGTTGCTGCTAGGCTGCCACCTCTAGCTCATCTTGTCAAGTGTTCTTCATATAAATCATTCCCTTTAAGTTTCTTTTAAAGCTCCTAGGTGGTTTGCTTGGTACTGATAGGCAGGTGGGAATCTTCTGTTCTCTCTTCTCATAACACAAGGACAAGGGAAACTGGCCCACCATTAAATGTAATTGCCAATCCGGGTTCCCCACCTTTGTCTACTCTGTGAATCTGTTCTAGCTGCAGCAATTCCATGGAAGGTTCTCCTGGAGGTTTGGTTGTGCAGATGTGAGTTTTCTTCTGGGTGCAGGATGTTTTAAGGACACACATTTTTCTTCCTTGATAGATTACTCTGATTTTCACTTTAAATAAGATATGTCTCACTTAACTCTTTCCAGGACCCAAAAATCCCAATGGAGCCAGATGGTAAATTATGCCCTCATGGTAGTCCTAGCAATTTAGTATAGTAAAACTCTTTCATGAGCATGAATTGACAGCTCCTGGGATGGAAACAATGGTTGGTAACTCAGATCAGTTTTAAGATGGATGAGACCATGTATTAAAGGAGGCTTGAAAGCTTCTGAAAATCCACCTGCCTTGACTGTCAGAAGTCATTTTGGTGGGGGGGGGGGATTGCCTCTTCCTTGGTCACCTCTAAGCTGGTCAAGACACTTTTTGAGTCACTTCCTTTTCATCTGCTATACCTTGAACAAATGTGATGTGGAGTGTCCAACTTCTGCTGAAGCAAACATTGGTAGAAGGATTGAGGCAGCTCCAGTCCTTGGATAGGTATGTTAAAAAGCCCCTTTGCTGCTCTTTTATATGGAGTCAAAACGCTACTTGTACATTGAAATACCAGCCGCTAAAGGCACTAATAAATAGGGAGCATTTTATCTAGACACATTGTTTAAAAGTCTGATAAAATGCTAATTGTTGCTAATCTGAAGTGCTAAATCCCATTTTTCTTAGATATGTGAAAGGGATGTTGTCAACTCTCAGGCAGCGACAGAGAATGACCCTATAGCCTGGTAGTTAGTGCACTCACTTAGGATGTTGGAGACCCAAGTTCAAGTTCCTGCTCCAGTGACTAAGCATTTATACACAGTGGAACAGCTTCAATAGGAGAGACTGAGAGAGACCTGCTCCAGAATATCCCATAGCCCAGTCATTAGTGCATTCTCCTGCAATGTAGGAAATATAAATTCAAATTTCTGCTCCACATCAGGCAGAGGGGGGACTTGAACCTGGGTCTCCCACATCCCAGATGAGTGAACCACTGGGCTAAAGGTGATCACTTGCGCATTTTTAACTCTACTTTTATAGAGTAAATATTGTGGAAAGTTTGACTTAGAAGGTGTCACCACCCTAAAAAGTTTGGGAAATACTGATTTAGAACATGAGTGTCACTTCTGGATCTTAGCTAGTTCCCATCTAACCATTTTGCTAATGGTTCTAGTTTAAATGGTTAATGACATTATGCAGCAGTTCATGTTTGTAGGTGAAGACTGTTTTGACTCCCTTGGAAAGCAGCATTTTCTAGTGGTCAGAGCAGGAGACTAAGCATCAGCATATTTGGGTTCTGTGCCAAATTTTACCACTGTTCAGCTCTGTGATTAGGCAAATTATTTAACCTCTTTGGCCTCTTTTTCTAAATATAAAATGAGATAATCAGGTTTGTAAAGTGATTCAAGATCTTTGGATGGAAGGCGCTGTTGAAGTGCTAAGTATTGTGTGTTTTATATAAATAATATATATTGGGTTTTGGATTTAAATAATTTTTTCCCTTACACAAAGTGAAAACATAACTATAAAATGTTGCAGGATTTCGGTGTAAAAGGGTAAATTTAACTTATAGTTTGTAGCTCTGTATTGTACTTGAAAGTGATACATAATAGCACAGTATTATGGAATATCTCTTAAAATATCCATTGAATTGGTTCTAAAGTATTTTACTATCTTTTAACAGGTGGTTTGCATTGGGTCAGTGGCAGAACTGGAAGAGCTGTCAGGAGTGAAAGTCACTGATCTCCACAGAGAAAGGTCAGTCACTGAGAACATGTACCAGCATGAACTGCTCCTATAGTTAATTAGCAACTGTTAGGGAGTAGCACACAGAAATGTTAGTTATTATTGTCTTAAACCTGAATAACCATTTAGGTTTTAGGAGCATATGGAGGAAACTAGAATGGCTTTATGTATACTGTATTAAATATACAAATGTTTCTTTCTTGGAAATTAATAGGCAGCAGGTTTAAAACAAACATATAAGGAAGTGCTTTTTCACATTAACGCACAGTCAACTGTTGGAACTTGTAGCCGGGGATGTGATGAAGGCCAAAAGAATAACTGGGTTCAAAAAAGCATTAGATACATTAATGGAGCTTAGGTCCATCAATGGCTATTAGCCAAGATGGTCAGGGATGCAACCCCATGATCTGGCTGTCCCTAAACCTCTGATTGCTGGAATCTGGGACTGGATTACGGGATGGATAACTCGATAAATTGTCCTGTTCTGTTTATTCCCTCTGAAGCATCTGGCACCAGCTGTTGTCAGAAGACAGGATACTGGGCTAGATGGACCATAGGTTTGGCCTAGTATGGTCATTGTTATATTCTTATGGAACTTCAATTTGAGATTGATACTAAATTTACAAAGCCATTTTAAACTCTAAAATTTTTTATATGAAATCTTGGCCTGTTGGAAATCACAGTGAAACTGAGTTGTTGTTGTTTTTGTTCCCTATCTAATGCGTAAGCATAATATGGATTAAGTTCTATTATGCCAAAGTTCTTAATATTTGGATTAGCGTTTGTCCATCTTTTTCTCTTATAGCATTGATCATCTAACCATCCCTTCACGCTGTGGAAAAGGAATGTTGCACCGTGTTTCTGAAGTCTTCGATTGTTGGTTTGAGAGTGGGAGCATGCCTTACGCACAAGTCCATTATCCATTTGAGAACAGAAAAGAATTTGAAGATGCCTTTCCTGCTGACTTCATTGCTGAAGGCATTGATCAAACCAGAGGATGGTAATATACTCTGTTCCAGATTTTAGAGAGCGAGAGAGTGCATTTAACATATGAACCATCCCTAAGTGATGTGCAAACTATACCTCTACCCCGATATAACGCTGTCCTTGGGAGCCAAAAAATCTTACCACGTTATAGGTGAAACCGTGTTATATCAAACTTGCTTTGATCTGCCGGAGTGCGCAGTCCCGCCCCCCCAGAGCACTGCTTTACCACGTTATATCCGAATTTGTGTTGTATCGGGTCGCGTTATATCGGGGTAGAGGTGTATAAACATACAGCTTTCACTAAAATGCAGCTACGTCTGTGGTGGGAGGGAAGTAGTCAGCAAATACTTGGGCAATCTCTTATTCTTTCTGAGACTTGCCATTGGATATTCTCATTGAGAAATTTGCCACAAAGTAAACTGCGCAGAATTCAGTTTATTTACCATAAAAGGAGGAAAGACTGAGTTTACTGAGCTGAGACAAAAACTTTTCTGGGGATGGTAGGTATTTCATACCTGATGAGTAAGCCGGTAAACCCCATGCCCTAGATGCGATTTAACTTTTCTGTGTTAGTTTGGGAAAGGGCCAAAAGTGTAACTAAGTCAACCCTTATGTGACTAGTAGGAGACACTCCTTTTCAAAAATATAAACTTCTAGACTTAAATTTGCTTCCACAATGTTGTGAACTGCTCCATTTACTGATATTTCCTTGGCCAAACAAACCTTTCCTGATGTAAAGCTAAATCTTTCTCTAATCTCAGGTTTGTCCCTGGTACTTCCTTATGTATAATATTTAGTTTTTAGTCTTTTTGTCCCATTTAGGAATGTCTGTTATAATTATGTGTCCTTGAAGTCTTAGTTTTGAGGTTGACTATGCTTAGTTTTACAAACCTTTCTTAACTAGACTTTCCTTCCATTGTCCCAAATTAGCGTAGTTCACTATATTGAAGTGGTACTTGCACAGTAAACAGATCTATTACATTCCTAAGTCAGTCAGGACTCAGTGAGCTAAATTCGGTATTATTTTGTATATAATAGACTTGTTTATTCAATTCCAGTCATTTGTATTTTTGCAAATCTCTGAGATTAGAGAAAATGATTTAGGTTTAATTTCCAAAAGGTGGTGGAACAGGTATCATTGAGGGCATGATATGAATACAGAAAAGTTGCATAGGTATAAATGAAGGCCCAATTTAACCTTGCAATACTTTATTTCTGGTGGTAATGTGTGACATGGAAAGAACCAAACTTGATTCCCAAATTCCAGGTTTTGCTTTGAAGGCTGGCAATTAAAAAAAACAACAACAACACATATTTTATTTGCCAATTGAGTATACTTAACACACAATCACTGAGAGACCAGAACCTTCACAGAAATTTGGTTCCTTTGCAGAGTAGAACTGTACTTTGAACTCTGTTCAAAGCAGTGGATAGTATTTTAAATGGATCCTCACCAAAACTTTATACACCGTCAACACTCTTTCAACATTACTACCCCATATTTGCTTTCCTGGGGGCAGTCTCACACTATATGTAAAATTCTATTAATTATTTATTACAATTCTGAAGTATTCTTCCTCATTAGTCCTTTCTAATTTTGTTCCGTTAACCCTAAAATTACTTGTACTATTTTGTTCCTTACTACATTAAACTCCATTTGCCACCTGTTAGCCCACCTGTTTAGATCTTACTTCAGTTTGTACTTCCCATGGTTATATATTGATTTATTATTCACTGTACACTATCAGAATGATTATTAATAAAGAATATTTAATACAGTGAATCCCAACATTAAAGAGAATCGATCCCTTGTTACTTTGAGACACAACTTCCTACAGGTCATGATTATTCTTCGCACACTATTCCTCAAGTAGTTTTCTAGACATTGTTACTAAGCACTGATCCCAGATTCCCTAATTTAATTTATTAGTTTTTATGTAATACTGTATTTGGTAAAAGTCCTAGAAATAGATCATATATATATGGAATATACATTTATTTTAAAACAAAGGTTTCTGTATTAAGTGTCAGTTTAAGAAAGGGACCTGGGAATCATTGTAGAGAGCTCAATGGAAATCTCTGTCCAACATGCAGCTGTGATCAAAAAAAGCTAACATGTTAACACTCCTATGGAATGAGATGCAGCATGGACAATATTCTAACACTTTTATATAAATCGTTGGTGCGGCCTCACCTGTCATAGTATATGCAGTACTAGTCACCCCATCTCAAAAAGGATATTGCAAACCTAAATGTGGTTCTGAGAAGAGCAATGAGAATGATCAAAGGCCTGGAAAAACTCTCATAAAGACAGATGAAAAAGCCTGGGATTGTTTACTTCAGAAAAGAGACAAATGAGAAGGAACATGATAGAAGTATATAAAACAATGAATATAGAGAAGGTAGATTGGGAGGTTCTGTTCCCTGCCTCATAATACAAGAACAAGGGGATAGTCAATTAAATTAAAAAGTGTGGAAATTAAAAACTGACAAAAGGAAATACTTTTTCACACAGCGTGTAACTTAGCTGTGGACTTCATTGCCACAAAAGTGGTTGAGGCCAAGAATTTTACAAGATTTTAAAAAGGGATGTGGTATCAATATGGATATCAAAAATGTCCTAATTAATGACAAAATATCTGGAAGAGGAATTAAGCCTTGTGCTTCAGATTTTAGGCCAATCTGACTATTAGAGAACAGGATGAAACCAATGTGGGGAGCAGATTATTCCACATATGCTTACTTTAGGGTTCTTAGACCATCCTCTTAAATATGTGGCTGTTGCTACTGCTGGAGATAGAATACTGGATGAGGTTGACCACTAGTCTGATCCAGTAGGACAGTTCCTGAAATAAAATCTGGTAGTATCACTGAAGAACGTTGGTACACTTTTACACAGGAAGAATTTTTATATTGTCAGTGTAATAATCTAAATGTGAGGCCACTATAATTTACAAACCTGTTTTAAATTAGCACACTTCCTAGTTTCTCTTCTATTTTTTTTTTTAAAAACACTACCACAATATGATTAGTGTTCATGAAAGGTAGTAAATATGCAGCACCAAACACTAAGTTCTGCCATCTGAGCAGCACCTTTATAAGCTTTCTCATATTAAAGGGTGTAGAGCCTGATCTGGAGAGAGCATTTTTTGGAGGGATACTTGGGGGGAGTTTATAGGTGGTCTGTCTCCAGACTGAGTCTGTCTTTGTCAATCTCAAAAGAGAGGCCACCTGTAATGCCAATTGTGATTTGATTTTTGTGATATGGACATAGATCCATTGGGTATTGGACTGAGCCTACCAATTCACTTTATATTCTGTAGGCTACATAACTGCTGCCAGATGGTGGAGATTTTCAAACTGTATAGGCCTGGGTAGATTGCTTCATGGGGTTGGTTTTTATTAACAGCAGCATAAAGTTCACCTCAAGCTTTCTCTCCAGGCTTGATTTACTCTTAAGGTTCCTCCCTCAGAACCACTGAGCTGCATCTTAGATCCTACTCCCTCGAGAGCTGCTGTCACCTTCCTTATATTTAGGAGGCTATTAAGCCAATTGCTTCAGAAAGTCATGAGAACCCACAAACCTTTCCCAAGATGATCATCTGCTAACAAGGTGGTGTTTTTCAAATAGGCAGTGCTAGCCTGTTACCATCCCAATAAAGCTATTAATTTTCAGACAGAAAAATGAATTAAGATGAGGATTGTTCCCCTGGAATGATGGTGACATCAGACTGTACTAGAAAGTTGCTAGATTTCATCCTCATTATAAAGCTGGATTACACTGAGGCCATGTCTACGCTAGGGGCTAGATTTATGCAGTGGTGTCGATTTAGCAGGTCTGGTGAAGACATTCTAAGTTGGTAGGAGAGCGCTCTCCTGTTGACATCTGTATTCCACGTCCCTGAGAGGTGGAAGCTATGTCAACGGGAGTTACCTTGACCTCAGTTACGTAACTGAACTAGCGTAACTTAGATCAACTTACCTCTTTAATGTAGACCAGCCCTTAGTTAACTTTTCCCCAATATCTTCATTATACTTGTGAAAGATTGAGATTCTGGGAAATGTCAATGAATATATCCTTCTCTAGTTATGACATGCTAAAATGACAACACTGCTAAATGGCCAATGGACCAGTCAACTCTGAAATATTGATGCTTTAAATAGACTGTATTTGCAAAACCTTGTAAAACTGTTAGAACTTAGATATCTTTAAAATTGTGATTTCTCAGTCACAAGCAAACAGTTATTTCAGGCAGAATGGTGCCCTTTGTCATTAACATTCTTTTTTCTTTGAGCATTGGTAACTCTGCTTCATGTATTAAACATGGAAGTGTCTTTCTCAGTTTGGCTAATATTTAAAACAGCACATTTTGTACGACAGTCTTGGCCCTCCCTATAGGTCCTCATACCAGAATTAATTGCTTAACCAGGCCTTTAAATTCTGACAGAGGTTTGTTAGTGTTGGGGTAATGTGGGACTTTACCTCAACCACACCCAACTTGTACATGTTTATACAGAATGTTTTACCAGCGTTGGCTGTCTATTGGCTGTTATGAAAGGCATGTTTTTAATTGGTTTATAGATGTGCATATCAAAAGCATCTTATAAATGTAAAACTTAAAACCACCAAGTAGTGTCTATAAAGCAAATCAAACCACAGAATGATCATGAATAGGAATATGTAGATGATATTTTGAAATGACAACAGTGGTTGTCATTAAAATCATAACGTTTACTACTGCAAGCAATTAGTATTAGCACTATATTCCCAACACTACACACCAGGCCTGTTTCAATTAATTCCAGATACACTGTCCAGTATGATTGTGGGTATTCTTCTGTTCATCTTTTTAAGAAACTGAACTATCTAACTTAATGTCCCTGGAGAAGTTTCTTCAGTCACTAAAAAATTTCTGCATGTGCCACCTCAAAGTGCGTAACCCTCATGTACCAGTCTCCTATAAAAAAACAACAACAAAAACATTGAAGCTCCTTCTAGTCAAAGTCAGTTTTTGCTTTTAAAATAGAAATGCCTTACAGGCCTGGTCTACAGTGTGTGTGTGTGGGGATCGATCTAAGTTACGCAACTTCAACTAGTTACTTAGATCTACCTACCACGGTGTTTTCACTGCGGTAGGTCGACTGCTGACACTCGCCTGTCAACTCCGCCTATGCGTCTCACTCCGCTGGAGTACCAGCGTCGACGGGAGAGCGCTCGGTGGTCGATTTATCGCGTCTTCACTAGACACAATAAATCGACCCCCCCGGATCGATCGATCGCTCCGGAGGTAAGGGTAGACATGCCCACAGTGTTGTCGTCATTCCATGACAATTGCTGTTGTTGGGATCAGTTTGTTTGTTTTGCATGTATATTTACATGCCATAACCCATTACTGTTTTGTCAGTTGGGTATTCATACCAGCTGAGGGAAGAATCAGCTAGTATGCAGTCTCTTTAGTTTTGATTTGCCTTGGTCATATGGGCAAAAGCTCAGGATTGAGGTTTTTTTCTTTTGAAGACTAAAGATGAGGGAGGAAAAAAGGGTAGGGGTCGGATGTAAGGAGGAGGGTAGAGAATTATGGACAAGGAGTAAAGAATGGGAAAGTAGTTTAAAATGGCAAAGATTTGTATTTTACTTTTTGTGTATGTGTGAATGTTTGATAAAGGTTTGTAAGTTACATTGTAATTTGGTTGGTTAAGAGGTTTTACAGCCCAGAGGGGTGTGCACCCTGAGATGATAATGTGAGTTGAAAGCCTCTCTAGGGAATAAGAATCACAGCTTTCATCTAAGCCGCTTTATAAATGCAATAATGCACCCAAGCAACGTTTACCAAGTCTTGGATACTCAAGTGCCACAGATGTGTTTTCAATTCTATGCAGCTTTTTGAGATCCAACCACTTCAGAGGATACAAATGAACCTTTCTTTCAGCAGAGTATTTCTTCTCTAAATCTTATGCTAATAAACAGTTTTGAAGCATAACCTTCTGTGGCTTGGTCTGAGTCAATTAGTTTTCATAAAATCATCTTTCATTTAAAGGTTGTGTTAGCTTTAGCTCTATAGATTGCTGATGTATTTGATATTCTCCCTTAGCTAACAAGGCTGTGCCACACCCTCAACTTATTTAAAAATAAAGAGTTGCACAGGCCCAGGCCTCTGACAAGAATCCTATTTGTGAATAGGTTTCTGTGGATTAGTGTGCTGTTCAGAGGTGTGTTGGAAATATTCCTTGAGTCGGAGACATCAAAAGTAGGATTCCAGGTCACCAAAAAACTGTATCATGTTCGTGGGGGTAGAGGGGCAGAAGGAGAGGCCCTGAGATAGGACAGACTCTTCTGCTGGGCTAAGAGTATAGCTGGTTAGATTAACAATATTGTTGGGTGAGTTAAGGGAACCACTGTTGTGGCCCCTTGTGGAATGTAGTAGTTTAGATAGTTTAGTGTCCTTTTTCCTTTGTCCTCACCTGCAACTATTTCACATTTGGGGACAATGTATACCTTCAAGTCAGTGGCACTGCTATGGGTACCCGCATGGCCCCACAGTATGCCAACATTTTTATGGCTGACTTAGAACAACACTTCCTCAGCTCTCGTCCCCTAACACCCCTACTGTACTTGCGCTACATTGATGACCTCTTCATCATCTGGACCCATGGAAAAGAAGCCCTTGAGGAATTCCATCATTACTTCAACAATTTCCATCCCACCATCAACCTCAGCCTGGACTAGTCCACACAAGAGATCCACTTCCTGGACACTACAAGTGATGGTCTAATAAGCGATGGTCACATAAACACCACCCTATAACAGAAACCTACTGACCGCTATACTTACCTACATGCCTCCAGCATTCATCCAGACCACATCACATGATCCATTGTCCACAGCCAAGCTCTAAGATACAACTGCATTTGCTCCAATCCCTCAGACAGAGACAAACACCTACAAGATCTCTATCAAGCGTTCTTAAAACTACAATACCCACCTGCTGAAATGAAGAAACAGATTGACAGAGCCAGAAGAGTACCCAGAAGTCACCTACTCCAGGACAGGCCCAACAAAGAAAGTAACAGAACGCCACTAGCCGTCACCTTCAGCCCCCAACTAAAACCTCTCCAGCGCATCATTAAGGATCTACAACCTATCCTGAAGGACGATCCCTCACTCTCCCAGATCTTGGGAGACAGGCCAGTCCTCGCTTAGACAGCCCCCTAACCTGAAGCAAATACTCACCAGCAACCACACAACAAAAACACTAACCCAGGAACCTATCCTTCTAACAAAGCCTGTTGCCAACTCTGTCCACATATCTATTCAAGGGACACCATCATAGGACCTAATCACATCAGCCACACCATCAGAGGCTCGTTCACCTGCACATCTACCATGTACATTAGCCAGACCGGACAGTCTCTACGTAAAAGAATAAATGGACACAAATCAGATGTCAAGAATTATAACATTCAGAAACCAGTCGGAGAACACTTCAGCCTCCCTGGTCACTCAATTACAGACCTAAAGGTTGCAATTCTCCAACAAAAGAATTTCAAAAACAGACTCCAACAAGAAACTGCTGAACTGGAATTAATTTGCAAACTGGACACCATTAAATTAGGCTTTAATAAAGACTGGGAGTGGATGGGTCATTACACAAAGTAAAAACTATTTCCCCATGCTAATTTTTTCCCCTATTGTTACTCACACCTTCTTGTCAACTGTTTGAAATGGACCAGCCTGATTATCCCTACAAAAGTTTTTTTTTCTCCTGCTGATCGTAGCCCACCTTAATGGATTAGTCTCATTAGAGTTGGTATGGCAACACCCATTTTTTCATGTTCTCTGTGTGTGTATATATATATCTTCCTACTGTATTTTCTACTGCATGAATCCGATGAAGTGGGTTTTAGCCCATGAAAGCTTATGCTCAAATAAATTTGTTAGTCTCTAAGGTGCCACAAGTACTCCTCTTTATTTTTGTTGTTTATTTATTTATTTTATTTTGTGGATTTAAAAAATCTATTACTTAAAGGGGAAATTCTCCACTGTCCTGTCTCCCAACCTTGCTAATTATTCCGAAAATGTTTCACTGTCATTGATTAGTATTCTAGTACTTGTGTGTAATATTTGGAGAAATAATAGTATATACTGCACAGCAAGAAAACAATTGTACAATAAGCTGATTTTAATGGATCTTTTCCAGTTATATGTCCACTCAGATTTTTTTTAATTCTAATGTGCTAGAGTGAATAAATCCAGCTTAATTGAAATTTGATTTGTAATTGACAGCATGGTGCTTTTAGCATAACGTGCCTAGAATATGGTTTGAACTGTCTGATAAACTTATCACTTTTTTGTTTCAGGTTTTATACTCTCCTGGTGCTATCCACAGCTCTTTTTGGGAAGCCGCCTTTCAAGAATGTAATTGTAAATGGGCTGGTTCTTGCTAGGTTAGTATATTAGTTTTCTTTACTGAACAGCTTTTTATTGTCACCTCGTTGTAATAGGTTCAGATACGTTACTCTAAATCACAAGTGAGACATTTTGGTAGCCTAGGAGTACATAGTGGTTATAGTTAGGTCAGTTTTTGGCTACCAATGAGAGAGAAACTTGTCACAAAGTAGCAACGTTACAGAAGATGAATTTAACTGCCCATCAGAGAGGGACATTTGTGTCTCCTATCCGGGAATTATGCCTAGTTCTTCACAGGAATATTTGCCCTTACTTATCGGCCACAAAGCTAATTAAAACTGGATGGAATTGAGGAAAGAAATGATATGCCATTGTGCACAAGGAAGGATACCCTGTTTAAAAGCTACATGTTGATTTGGAGGTTTATATATTTTTTATAACAGTAAATATATTTTTCAGTGTCATAACTTGCCACATCTTCAGGATGATGATACTGATCCAAAGCAAATGTTTTGTTTTTATCCTCTTGCACCTTATTATGCATCTTAATTTCTCAGAGGAAGATGGAATCTTCTAATTGAGTCTGTAATTTAGGAGCCTATTGCTTCCAGATTTTCTCAGTGCTCTGGAATTGTCCATCATGCTGAAATAGTGTGCTGAGTGCATGGCAGTGGCATGGGTAACTGTAAACATATTGTGAAAATCAGATTTGAGTTTTAATCAATTATTTGGAAAGGAAGCTGGATGTAAAAGGATACTTGGTTAGCAACTCTTGTGTTGTCAGAGTCCTAAGAACTCATTCCCCACACTTGGCATTTGTTTTTTTTAGTGATGGCCAAAAAATGAGCAAACGCAAGAAGAACTATCCTGATCCAGTGACCATTGTAAATGGTTATGGAGCTGATGCACTAAGGTAGGAACTGGCAATTCTGTCTGTTTTTTTTCTGTAATGTAGATACCTAATACTTCAAATTCCTATGAATGGTTATATCAGACATGTATACCAGAAAGGCTGTAATGGGTTTTGACAGATAGCGATAGGAAATAACTTCAGTTTAGAGTATTTCAGAACTCTGTGGCAAGGAAGTAGTTGCGGGAAGGGATGACCCAAGGGATTGGTAATGGGTTATGGAGCCTTGAACTTCTAAAACATTGGTTCCGATCCTAACAAGGCTGATAATGACTGAAGCTAATTGCTATCTGATGGCTTTTTGGTTAGGAAATAAGTTGGGTCCAGTTCCTATTATATAATATGTCAATTTAAGCTGACACTAATTGGGCCTGGTCTACACTACGGGATTAATTCGGATTTAGCAGCTTTAATTCGAATTAACCCTTCACCCGTCCACACAACAGAGCCATTTAGTTCGAATTAAAGGGCGCTTTAAATCGATTTCTGTACTCCACCTCGACGAGCGGAGTAGCGCCAAAATCGATTTTGTTAATTCGAATTAGGGTTAGTGTGGCCGCCACCACCGAATTAATGTGGTTAAAATTAATGGGGTAGTGTGGCCGCACACCACCGAATTAATGTGGTTAAAAACCGAATTAATGTGCTTAGTGTGGCCGCGCACAATCGAATTTATACAACCTGTTTCCCAAATTCGAATTATCTAAATTCGGATTAATCCCGTAGTGTAGACATACCCTAATTGGTATCATTGCTGGCTTTATAAGCATAGAGGCCAAGTATTTGAATGGTCATGAAAACTATGATCAACTCCTCCTCAGAGCTAGTTACTCTAGAATAGCATATCTGCACATAGGCTGCATGGTGGAGGGAAGCTTGTGCAGTCGCTGCTTGTGCAGTCGCTACCTGTGCTATATATTACCTATGGAGAAAAGAATTGGTCTACATTGCTGTTTAATGCAGCATCTTTCATAAGCACTATGTTCAGTTAATATTGGAGACAAAAGTGAAGGGGCAGATCTGAATATATTCATGTACAAAAAGCACCTTATTGATCAAACGATCTAGGTCTTTGGGCAATTTAAGTTGTTTCATTAAAATAATATAAATGCTCAAGTATAAGAGGCATTTAATTTGGCTGGGGGCAATAAAATCTCTTCATAACCTAAAGGTGGAATATGGACATTGAATATCTGAATTAATATCTTATTTATGGTTGTAAAGAGCCATTTGAATGTTGTTATATTCAAGTTTTTATAATATGTCACCAGGCATCATGATTGCATGCTGAGACTATGGCAGATCAAATAATAAGTATGTGTGTCTGTGTCTGTTGAAAACTTTCCATTTGCCATAACTGAAACTTGCTTTAAAATTAACATTTATTTTAAAAAGACTAGACTTGTGTTTGAATACCTTGAAAAATGGAACAGAGGTCTCTACTTTGATACAACTTTAAAATTTAAGCTACTTCCACCCCCACCCCTCCACCACCACTACCACATTTCAGAAACATTGAAGTCCCCTTTTGGTAAATGCCTTGTATCTCGTCAGTTCAGGAAGAAATTGTCATAAAAAACTAGATTTACTGTGAAGGCTTGAATAGAGTTCTTAAGTTGATCAACAAGATCAAACTCTTTTATAATAGTCTAACCATGGTCAGCAGAATATGAAGCAACATGACTGCAGAGATTCCCAGTTGTTATGGAGGCTTTTAAACTCAATGTTCAGTTGTTGTTTTTTCCTAATTTTTTTCTGCCTTAAAAAAAAAAATGCTAAAAGGTACAATTCCATTATTTCCCCATTTTTGTTCAATAAAAGGCTAATTCATTTTTCTGCCTGACATTCACTTTCTAATGTCATATTTATTTATACACACACCCACACACAGAGTATAAAGCAGTACAGACTAGGTTCATTTAAGGAAAGACTTCTGTGATTCAGTTGTTTGTGCTTATCCACTGAAGCACTTCTTGTATACTGTTTATAGAATAAGCTACTTTAGATTTTCTTGTCGTTTTGGCACGGTTTCTATGCAGAGTTACTTTAGCTTCTGTGAAGGAAGTTCTCCCCTCCCCCTCAGGAGAATCTTTACGAACGGTAGCTTCAAATTAGTCTCAGCGCAGCAGTATGTTAGTAAATACAGCATCCCCAGCAGTTACACACATAAGCTGCTTAAATGTATAATAGGATGAGAACTCCAGATGGAAGGAATAGCTAGGTAGCACAGAGAGTTAGCACACTGGTCTCTGACTTTTAGAATCTTTAATTCCAGTGTTCTTTGAATTGTATGTGAAACCATTCAGTGTCTAAGAGCTTGTTTACACAGTGCAGCAATGCACATCAGAAGAGGTGTACAGTTGTAGAGCACCTTAAAGTATTGAGCTCTAACTGCCCTGTGCTGACCCAACTGATGCACTCTTAAAAGTATGTGTTAATGTTGTATTGTTTTCAAACAGGACTACATTCATGCACACTAGGAACCTTTTAGAGCACATCAGTGGGGTCAACACAAAGCTGTTAGAGTTCAACACTTCAAAGCCCTCTACAATTTTACACCCTTTCTGGTGTGCATTGTTGCACTGTGTAGACCAGTCCTAAATGTTAAAGCTACCATCACACTTGGGCAATCTTGACAACCTTGACTCAGATGGGCTGTAAGCCAAAGATGAAGTCGTGCAGTGAGGGAAAAAGTGTGGTGTTCTCTCTCTTTCTCCCCATTTAATTTCCCTTCACTTCCATGAGCTCCAAAGAAGGTCCTCACATTAAAGGGAATGTATTTGTGCTATACTCTCCACTCTGCCTGCTTTATATTTCCAAAAGTAGGGCAACAAAAACTGGCGGGGACTGCAGGAAAGGATGGGGTCAGTGGGGAGAGGAGGGAAATACTTATTTCTATGGGCGTCACGTAATTTTTTGGAACCAGTTTAACTGTTTTGGTTAGGAGTGATATTTCTGCCAAAAGCTATACCAGTACAGCTACTGAGGTGGACATAGTTACATTGGTACAGCTTATTTCTCCTTCCCCTATCTTAGTATAAGCATCTTTATACTAGAATAACTGCCCACACTAGGGGGACTGCACTGACTTAACTACAGCAGCATAGTTAATGCAGTACAATTTTTGTATGTAGATGAGCATTTGAACTCAGCAGTTTTTTCTTGCTCAACATGCTAAAAACCTATCCTGTGGGGATTTCTATGCTTCACGTGCTACAGTTAATATTTCTACTGTGCTGGTCTGGATCAAAAACTGCAACTTCAGTAAAAAATTTCCAAATATCAGTTGGTGATTGAGTTTTCTCTGCACCTTTTTGGAAGGAATGAACATGTAGACTTTGCCCTTCTTGCCATGTCAATATATTTGTGATGGGGAATTGGCTTTCCTCAGCCTGATATCTAGTGCCTGATAAGGGTATACTAAAATGTTACCATGAAGTTAGATTGATGGTGAGTGTGAACTGGCGTCAGTGATTGTGGAGTCTTAACAAAAATGCTAGGATTTCAGCACTACATGGCAATAAAGGCAATGAAGATTTAGTGGCCAAGAAATGCAAGTCTAAGGGCTTGTCTACACCACGCAGCTTTTAGCGACAAGGCTGCCTTGTTGCTAAACGTCAGCGTGTGTAAACACTTTATTTTGGTACTTTTGCCGACAAAATACTTCCAGCCCCGCAAGCGGCATTAGCTTTGTCAGCAGGAGAGCACTGCTGCCGACAAAGCCACGTTCACACAGCCACTTGCGTCGGCAAAACTTTTGTCTTTCGCGGGGGGGCTTTTTTAAGTACCCGTGAAGGACAAAAGCTTTGTCGACAACTTCACAGTGTAGACAAGCCCTTATAAGAATAAATGATTAATAAAAGTATGCAAGTTTTGTCCCTTTATTTGGATTGGTTCCAGAGTAATCAATTTCTTCCTACATTACCTTGAAAGTAATGTTTCACTATTGTTAATATAATCAAGTGACCTAAGCCCCCATCTGCCAACACAGGCAAACAAATAGACTCAGCCACTGCCACTGAGTGTCTGCAATTCTGTCACACTTCTTTTTTTTTTTTTTAATCAGAGGGCAATAGCTTCTACAGCTGAGCTTTTGTTTGCTTCATTGAGGCCTTATCCCTCAAAGTTCAGACTGGTATCCTAACAATACACCTCTGTGAAAATGTGCTATTTGCATTTGGCAACTAATTTTCATGGCATGAGGTGCCAAAAGAATAAATTGTGTATTCAGGAAAGAATATAGCAGTGTTATTGTTAATTCAGAGGTCGTCCAAGACATACATCTTATCTCCTTATAGAAGATAGTCCATTGTGCAACAAAACCAACCCCCTATACTTTATACCACTTACCTAGACAATGTTTAACCTCAAGTATCATCTGCTGTCTAGGTCATAGAATCATAGAATATCAGGGTTGGAAGGGACCTCAGGAGGTCATCTAGTCCAACCCCCTGCTCAAAGCAGGACCAATTCCCAACTAAATCATCCCAGCCAGGGCTTTGTCAAGCCTGACCTTAAAAACCTCTAAGGAAGGAGATTCCACCACCTCCCTAGGTAACCCATTCCAGTGCTTCACCACCCTCCTAGTGAGAGAGTTTTTCCTAATATCCAACCTAAACCTCCCCCACTGCAACTTGAGACCATTACTCCTTGTTCTGTCATCAGGTACCACTGAGAACAGTCTAGATCCATCCTCTTTGGAACCCCTTTTCAGGTAGTTGAAAGCAGCTATCAAATCCCCCCTCATTCTTCTCTTCTGCAGACTAAACAATCCCAGTTCCCTCAGCCTCTCCTCATAAGGTCTATCTTCTCTCACGCATGAGATAGGAAGGATCTCCAAGAAGATCACCTATATTTTCTTCTCTAGAAACCGGAGGCTTTTGATGATCTGCAGTGTGTTTTTTGAGACAGTGTCATTAATGCCAATCACTGTAAACAATCGGTCTTTCTCATACTTCTATTCATAACGAGTCAGGCCACTGTTCACCATGATGCCTTGCTCG